CATTTGTGGACCGGCTGGCAGTCAGAATGTATGTTCTCCCATAATGCTCTCATTTTGAGCCCACAGCATGCAGCTTGCCAAGGATGTAGAGCATGTGGGTCGAAAGTGTAGAGCATTCTGGTTTGGAATTAAACAGGCTTCAGTTTGTGGCGAGTGGTTAACAGAGGAACTCGATCTGACCGCACCCTTTCAAAAGCAAGAAGCTGCTTTTAAAACAACTGCTGTTAGACTTGAGAAGGAGGCATCAAACACTCCCCTCCCTATTGCAGACACTGATTTTCTGATTTGCAATTTTGACAACCCTGCAAAATAATAACACACTTCATATCTTTTTCAGATGAGAACCACAAAAAAAGGGAAAATGAAAAGTATGACAAGAATCGGTATGAGTTGCTGTATATATTCTAATCAAGTTTTCTCAGTAAACAGATCCGACTCTTTGTAACTTCATCTTAGAATAAATGCAAATATTCTGTAAAGGCCTAAGAGTTTTTCTTTAGAACATTTTTAGAGGAAATCGTTGGACAAACAGGAAGGAAGTTTAGAGAAACTTTAGTCACAGAGCACAGTATACACAACTCACACACTGTAGATATTGCAATGGTGATATTGGGCTCGTTTTCCTCTTTCCTCTTTCTCATTTGTGCCTGCTTCACTCGGTGACCTTTGGCCTTTCTAGCAAGGGTGAACATCTGCTGCCGGAGGCTCCGTCCAACTGCCTAATATTACATTCACGTGTAAAATACAACTTTACAACATCTGAAATATATTAACCAACTATGACTGAATCAATACTGCTATGATGACAATATATTTGTCATGCATTCTGACAAGGCCCAAGAATTGCACCTTGGCAAATTCACCAAGATATGGTCATCCAACATAACTGAGAAATTATGCAAGAAAAGCATCAATTAGAGAAAAAGAAGAGATCTACAGTGGCTTTGGGGGAGCTGGAGAGATGGAATGGGAGAATTTGTTAAGGATTTACAGAAGATGCCCAGAAAGAAAGCCATTTAAAAGAACATAACCATTATTTGGAAGAACATGCTCTGGTCAGATAAGATCAACTAAAAAGTATTTTGTCGAACTTGTTAGTGGAAAACTAACTCTGCTTCACTCTGAATACAGCCCTCCCCACCCCCTTGACAGCGGAGTATTCGCCATGGTGTTGTGACAAGGCCCTTCTCTGCCAAAGGTAGATAAGCTGGTGACATGTAGAAGGAGCTGAACAACATGAGAGAGAGACTACACTGCATTGACTCAGGAGGCTGAATGCCTGCCACAATCTCCACATTTTTTTTTTTTTAGAGGAATTTCTAAGCCACACATTTTCATTCCCTTTTGCATATAAATTGTATTTTGTTATGATCTAGAAATAAGAAGAATATAAATGTAGAAAATGCGGATTACAACCCACCTACCTTCTATCAATACACTATTCATGTTACTGTCAACAGTGGTGTCATTCAGTGTCTGCTGTGTGGCGGCGCTAAATCTCACCTGTGGGACAGAGATTATTGTTTTTTTTCCTCCATTTGTGAATTCATTATAACATGTCGCATTTTTTAAAGAAAATTGGATTTTGCGATTTAAAAAAATGCTAACTTGGTTTTTTCCTTTCCTAACTGGCAAAGAGCTGAATATCTTAGTCACAAAAAGAAGAAATGTGTAGGAGTGACTGAAAGAACAGGTAAGGAAGGAGCAACGAGGAGCAGCTCTGCTCTTACAGATAGTACATTTGCTCCCACAGATTATTTTTAAAATCATGCATCAGATAGAGCTCAGTGACAGATGTTTGAATCCAGTCTGCACATGTGCATCAGTGGATTCTTTAGCCTTAACAAGCAAATCAGAACTCCACTGAGGAATACCCTAAACTAGAGCCTTAACTAACAAGTATCTCACTAATCGATTTTTGATTAATCGATCAATAATCGGATAGCAAAAGCTCCTTAAAGAAGATCTTTTACAGAATTAAACAAGGGGAAAATAAAATTTTCCACTAGTAGAGTTCTGGATAGAGCATATTGACTTATAAAAAATATTTTTTTATTATTTTTTTTAAATCTTAAACGCAATATACATTTTATTCAATTTTGATATAATTACTGCAATAAGTGGGTTTTTCTCTCACCAAAAGGCATGTTTTAGAAAATCTATACTGCGGTTAATCGATTACTAAATTAGTTGACCTTTATTTCAATAACCGATTAATCAAGAGTAATTCTTTCAGCTCTTCTTTAAACATGCAAACAAAAAAAGAGCAACAACATTCATGTTGATAACATTTTTTTCTAAGTAAAAAGACAAGGTAAAGATGGTAATAAAAAACATTTATTAGCATCTGTTAAAATCTTATGATATAAGAAATTAAGTTCTTCATTAAGGGTTTCCCTCTTAAGATAATTTAGGACAAAAAAATAGTTTTTTTACTTAGTGATTAAGTACATGGAAAAAATCTTAGGGCAAACTTTAGATTTCATAGAAAGTAAAAAAGTTATTATTATTTACCCTCAATGGTAAGAGAGTAGAGACGCACATGCATCCTTTAATCCACACTTTTCCCTTTCATGAATGATCCATTATTAAGACTGTATGTTTCTGCAGTCAACCTAGAAATAAAGATATAAACTAAGAACTCCTAACTGACCATTTTAAGCTAAATTGTTACTTCACTGTTTGATTACAGCTACCTCACCCCAGACAGGAGCAGAAGATTAACCCCATGGCTTAAAGCGTTCTATCATTTCTACTGTCTTTGATATAGTTTTGCTAGTTTTTTGAAACAAGAAACACTGAGAAAGGAGAAGAATTTCAGCAAAGATCCTTAAGTCAGTGTTCAAAATCTAGATGATTACCTCTATAACTGTCAGCCTCACTGTGGAGCACCTGGTCTATTGCTTCATCACATCAGCACAGATGTTAAATATAATTGGTAGGAGAATTTTGTCAGATGATATTATTAAAAGGGAACAAAGACGGCAAGGTGGGCTGAAAGTGACTGCCATTCAGTCAATCTTTTCGGTCAAAAATTTTGATTCTTGGCGAGTTCTTATTCAGTGCAGAGAAAAAAAAAATCATTAAGAGAGTTTTCTTGAGAGTTTCGGCCAAAACTATTAACTATTATTGACTTTTTATGACTAGTTCAGATAGTGAATAGTTAGCTTGTTTAGTGATTTTTTTTAAAAACATGTTTCTTTAAACTGAGGATAGTTTAAGTACTTGTTAAGAGTGGAATTGTACAATACTTGGTGCAAGCAAAAGAATGAAGAAACATCTTTTGCAATACACAGGTTTCCATAACGTGCTGATGGAGATCCTCAATAAACTGCATTTGCAAAGTACAAGAAGCCATGTTTTATCCATAGAATGGACAGCTAGTCCATTTCAGAACCAAATGGACGACGATTGGCCAACGACGGTAGGATGCAAATGGTAGAAGAACCATTAGGTGAAGTAACTCTGCAAGCAGCAGACTGACACTCAAACAGTGCTGCTGACTACATCTAGCTTACTTCCTTTTTCCTCCTTTGAGGCACAGGAAGGAGCAGTGAGTCAGATCCTCCATGCAGACAAAAACAAAGTTTTTGACCAAACAAGAATGATGATTCAGATGAATGCGTCTGAAAATAAATCTGTTTCCATTATTATCATTGCCCATGTATACGCCAGCAGCGAAAGCTGCAACTATCACGACTCTTGACGTCGAAATAGCATGTGAAGATTTGTAAGAGGTCAAGTAGTTCTGTTGTCAGCATAAAAAAGGTCTGTCCATTAGTCACTGTTCGGTCTCCATGGGAACTAAACGTTTGTTCTGGATGCTTTTTTACTCCGCCATCAGGTTTTAATTCAACCTTCAACAGTCTGTCCCCTGGAAGGAAAATGTTCCAACCCGTTAACAAATCCAGCCGGATTTAGACACATTGAGATGATCATAGACTTGAGCATGGTGGTGTCTTAACTGCAAATTCTCATGTTGCGTTTTTGATGTTGTGAAAAAAATAAGCATTTGAAGGAAGAATAACATGGATTGTTTCTAGAATTAAGCAATAAACCAGGTTTAATAAACAGAGCTCTTCAGCGTCTTCCTCAAAGCACAATGCATTCACTGCATCTTCCTTCCTCCCCCCATAGCTCTGTATATATCATCGAATATCATCCTTATCTATATGTAAATACTTTTCTTTCAATGACTGGGTGATTTTTAACATACTGGTAATATTATAATTGCCAGGTAAGATTCATTTGACACAGATATCACCACATTTCCATCTATTAAAGAATTAAAGACCAAATTTCTTTTTTTTAATCCTTCCTGAGATCGCTCTATACAACAAATTCAAACTAACCAGGCTTACAGCTGAATAAGAAAACAAGAAATATAAAAATGGAAGCCACAAGGATTCCTATAAATGGGCCTTTGTTTTGCAACAGAAAGCATAGATGATAGAGATGGTAATACCACGTTATGACAACAGCAGCTGAACTGATGGCCATTAACACTGGACCAATAACAAAACCCACCACAGCAATGAAACCACATCTCTGCTGCTGTACATGAAGTGATTACAATGCAGGACTGCACCAGATCAGAAGATTTTCCGATCCTGATTATTTTGGTAAAGTAATGAAGTTGGTCTTTCAAATCTGGGTCCTGAGAGTCTGAAGGTCCAGACAGATCAGGATCAGGATGTTGCAGAGAAGTTTACAAGTAAATTCTGCCTTAATATCTTATTCTCTCATCTGCTGCATGATGTCTGCTCTACCTTTAACACTTTATCAACGTAGATTATGAGTTTGTATCATTAGGCCTTGTCTAACACATGAACATTAACCAATGAATATTTATTCCATGCAAAAGTTTAAGGTTTAAGAATTTTTTACAAATGTGAATTTATTTAACAAATCAGAAGATATACATTAAAGCAACACTACATCATTTTGACTCAACTATTTGCTCAAGTTGAGATGTATAATATAGAGGATTTGGTTCGTACCAATTGTCCATGTGGGCTGTCCCCGTCAAATACTCTCCTATGTAACCTGAGAGGCTGGAATCTGTTGCTGAATGGGTCATGTGACCCAGAGCGCTCCTTTACAACAGTCTCAGTTCCTCTTAAACACAAGAGCAAACTAAGCTAAATGTTGTTATTCAACACAACAGATATGATAATAATTCATATAATCTCAAATATGGTAATTTTATTACAGTGAAGCATTCACAAGAGGTCACAGGTCTAGCGCCCCTACTGGCTAAAATTTACACAGTTTTGCTTAAAAACCCTGGGCTGACTGGTTCTGGGCTCAAAGATGGTAAAGAATTAGTGTTGTCTTGAGTTTGATGAAGCATTTCTGTGCCGTTTTGGTTAGAAGAAGTAGACAATCAACACACTGAAAGATCCGGTGGTGATTCACGTTAATTTCCTTTCAAATATCATGTTGGTCCTTGTATTGTTGTTTTTTTTCCTCAAACCCGTCATGTTGCTGTTCACCCCATAATAATTCCCAGGATCTCTGAGAGAAGCAAGCCCACAGCATCACAGAGCCTCTGTTGTGTTTTTCTTCCTGTTAATGCTTGGCAGGCTTGTTGCTGAAACACAGTTGTTAAAGTTTATGTTTGTAATGGAGGGACAGAAAAGGCAAGGCTAGATTGCATAATGACTTCTCTAAATGTTTGGTGTAAAACTGTGAACTTGTTATACAAGATCATTCCATTCCCAGCCTCACTTCCTAATGTTGAAGTGTGCATAAAACTGGATTGCTGACATCCATCCATAAAGGTATCACTGTATAACTGCTTCAACACATGTATAGCTTTCAAACATCTGTCCAACACCTGAACGTAGTAAAGGAGATTTTAGAAAAGATGTTATGTCAGCTAAAGCCTAACAGGAAGCACGGGACCACTACGTATCCCATGCTGTGAGACAGTCTCTGTTCTCCCTCTGTGTTCCTATATTAGTCTGCAGGGATGTGAAACTTCTGTGCAACAGCACAAACAATGTGGTATTAGAGAAGTTAACATCACTCTCACAACAAAAATGAGAGAAAAAGTTTCAATTTACAGGTAGTAGAAGGTAGTAGGTCGCCTACATGCTGTGCAGTGTTTCAAAGTATGTTATTTTACAAAGAGATGTCTTAGAGCCTAAAGTGAGTAAAATTACAAATCACTGTATCTTAGTTGAAGATTTAAATCGTTAAATAAATGTTTTTTCTCAAATTGAACAGAAAAAAGCTTCTCCTCTGTGTATAAGTAAGAAAGAGCAACAACTGCGGTGCTGCTTATATCAGCATCTTTCGAGTTTGAAAACAAGAGGAGATGAAATCTGCAGAGGAAACTGCTGAGCTGATGGTTTGCTTTGATGTGGACAGAGATCAATAGGATTTCCATTCAGCCTTTAGCCCTGGTTGGTTCACACAAACCTACAGAATAAAAAGGACTCACTATGGGACTCTGACTTGTAGCTTGTTTTGGCTCAGATTCAAGAAAGGAAGTAACTTTTTTTTTTGTTATTTTTCTTACAGTTTATGCTCAAGAACCAAAACCAAAAGCTTAAAAATAGGTTATCATTATTGATCTTTTCTCTTTTAAAAAACATTTAATGTGCACAGATGAATGCAAATAATACTATTGTTCTCTCTGTATCTATTATTCTAAACATCTTTGACAAAAAATGATTAATTTTTTGCACCAGAGCTTCAGTCACACAAGACGGTGACAGGAATCTGATGGTTTTACAATATTTTGCTTATTGACCTGACAGCTTAAGCTAACAATAAGCCTGTTTTCTGTATAATTTGTCTCTGATGATCAAAGACAGCAAGTTAAAATGAAATCAGAAAAAAGTTAAATTCGTTATTTAAAAAGGAAAGTTTAATTTTCAGTAGAAAGATACTGACTATTTAATCCAGTTGCTACAAAAGCGAAGCAGCAATCAGCAACTAACTGAAGGCTTTCTCAAACTTAATGATTTTCTTGCAGGCTCTAAGGAGGACAGTTCTGTTATTTTCATTGAATTCAATTTATTTATTTATTTTTTATTTCTACTTTATTAGTTAGTAAATATGATGGGCAGGTATTCCTTTTATTTTATTTTTTGGGGTTTATTGTAAAGTGCATGACTTTATTTACATTTTTTTAGTAATGCAAAGTAAATTATTTGCTTTTCTTGAGAAATCACCATTTTGCTTGATAATGTGATATTTAAACTAAAATTAGCTAAATTTAACAACAGGTTTCCTAAAAAAAGAAAACAGTAATTAAAACTCAGTCACACAAGCACAAATGTACTGTAGTCCTCGGTTCAGTCAGTCATTGCTTTCTAAATAATTCTCCTTTCTGCATATTTTGGGGTTATAAAATGTCAGCACCAATATTTATCCCTTTCATTTTCTGTTTCATCTTTCTCAGAGCTACGGGGATCCCCTGAGGTCTGAACTTCCTGCTCCCTCAGAGTCAAAGTTCTTGACTGATAAACAGTCGGTCGGAGCCACGTTGCAGAAACTTCTGCTGCTTTGCAGTCTGCCAAGCAGGCTGCGTGCACCGAGTGGGCGGACTCCATAGAAACACAAGCATCCAGAAGGTCTGTTAGGAAATAAAAAAAACATGCAGCCGCTAAACAGAGCCGAGATATTTTCCATCATAATATGTCCAACCCAAAAAGACGTGATTCCTCCCGTCTTTAAGCTGTTCTGCGGTATGAAAGGCATTTGATGTTCCCAGTGGGTGTGTTCGGTTTGTAAGGAGACTAAAGGAGATTACAATGGGTCAGACATCTGACAGACAAAAAGCAAATATTTTAGTGACACAACACGTCAAACAGTCAAACTTGCCGGTCCTGTTTGCTTTTTAAATCTTCTGCCGACCGGGTTTGCTCCAATTTAACCAGAATCTTTAAACTAGTGAGTTTTGCTGCTGAGGGCTTGTCAGGTATGCAGATTGTTTCCGGAACGTTTCTGTACTTCAAACAGCCTGAGGAACAAGATGCTTGGAGCTTTCCTCCATCAGTGAACTGACAGAGAGAAACACCATGAACCATAAAATAGATATAGATTGTGGTCGATCATCTTTGGGCAGAAAATCTTTAAAAAGAATTTGTGGAGGATGAGAACCATCTGTCGTTTACAAGGCAGCAGGACAAAAATCTAAAACAGGAGAAACCTGCATGCCCACGTTTCCCCGGTAATACTGATATTTCTAATGCATTTTAAACATTAATATAATAATTTTGTTATATTAAAAATTAAACCAGCAGATTCTCTAATAAGCTACACACCACTCAGAGAATAAAAAGGTGTAGATGCTGTTACTAAACAAAGAGAACAACAAATTTAATCTGAAGGAGGCAGCATTTTCTGCTACATCTCCACATTTATCTGCAAGTTAACAGGCTCTGAGAGAGCGAGATTTTCAGCTGATAACAGAAAGGTTGGACTGATTTCCACTCCGTTTTACCTCTTAAGAGCTTTCACTGCTGGGTGCTATTAGCTGTGATCCTTAAATGTTTGTCAGCTGAAGGGAGAAAGGTGTGAATAATGAATTTAAAGATAAACTAGAAACAACTGCAGTAAAGGAAGAGAGAAGCTTCACAGGAATTAGAAGAACACTGACTGGCTCATCTCTACAGCTCAGAGTCTGTGGTCTTACCTTCGTCACTCACCTTCTGTATGCCTGAGTCCTTATGAATAATTTCAGATTTATTTCTTAGAAATCTGTAACAGCGCGATAAGTTATCTCAGTTACTGAGCTCAGACCGGTCTTGGCACGTTTTTTCAAGGGTAGTGTAAATGGGGTATAGCCTATGTTTTTTTAAATTGTCAGTATGAGTGTAAACTATGATAACGAGCAGAAGAGTGATGCATTCTGTGTTTAGGCCACAGGTGGCAGTATCATTAGAAAACTTCGCAATGCCTCTTTGATCATAAAGGGCGGATTATACTTCTGCAACTGCACACATGAAATTTTGCTTGCGTCTGGTCGCAAACCGGTTTTGCTGGTATGCTTCTGCAACATCGGTCTGGAATTTCTAGGCACGCACAGCAGTTTCCCACCAAAGCTCTAGGGGGAGCCTATTGGAGAACTCGCAAGAACTTCGGATGGTAACGAGAACTTCTTCGGCGGCGCAGGCGAGAGTGTTTACTTTCCAAAACAACATGTATGAGGCATCGTACAAGTGGTTGTACTTCTGAACCTTCTTGATCAACCTTTCGTCGTGGTTATCCATTGTTGTTATTACTCCTCAGTTTTTAAATGGCGCGCCCCGGCACCGAATTGAGAAGGACGACCACACAGACAGCTGGAAAGGCATACCAAGGACAAATCACAGCTGCTCTTTGTCTGCGTACTTCGGCTTGAGGTCTGCACTGGTTTGCGAATGTCCAACACGTAGTCAGGATTTCTTAGAGGTGCGCAACAATGGTTGCAGAACCTCTGCGTGAGGGATGTGGTCACGCACAGAGACAGATTTGACGGTTGCAGAGCCTATGCGTCAGTAGTATAAATTGGCCTTTATACTGTGATATTTCTAGTCGATGTCCCAGATCTCAGCTGCCACTGATTTTTCCTGACTCTGATCTGTGCAAATCCTGAGCGTAAGGTAACCCCTGATGATCATCTCTGAAGTTCCCATTGTCTAGTGCAGGTTGGGCCCTCCCCGTTTAGTGGACGATCATCACCGGTTACAAAACAACCCACCCAATGGATGTCTGTGAAACAGACTGAATGACAGCAGTGGAGAAAACGACCAACAGCTCCTGTAGAAGGACAACCAGCTTTCTAGGATTGTCCAATACCTCAGGCATCATCAGTCATATAAATTCACAGTAAAATACATAGTGGTTTGAGTGTGTAGCATAATTAAGTGTGTAATGTGTAAGGAAAACAGAAATCGTCTCACCCTATGATAGAAGGAAAACATTTTTGTGTAACCTCCACCCATAATGCACAGGAATGTAAAATATGCCGACAAAGTGAAGGAATTTTATTCTAATTATAAATGTGATATCTAAAAGGCTAC